GTGATATGCATCCTGCCACAATTTCCGAATTTTTATTTACATTTCCTGGCTCGATGTTGTTCCGCCGGTATGCGCTGAAAATATTTTTATCAGTTTTTTGTCTTTTGTCGTTCGTGTCGTTGTGGTCGCTGCTGCTTTGGTTGAAATTATTATTATTTTTATTATCATCGTTGTTGTTGTTGTCAGTGTTGTCGTTGTTGTTGCTAGCCTCAAATTTGTTGTTGCAAATGCCTGTGTCGGGAAATAAATTGAAACGATTTTTCCTACACAGAGCGCTTTTCGATCTAGACAAGAAGTTAGCGTTATTTTCTTGACTTCTGGATCGTGATAAGTTCTCAAAATTTTCGATAAAACTTGAAAAATTTATCTTTGCATCGTTTGCAATGTCTTCGCGGTTACTTTCACAACGAGTTTCTTGCTGTTGCTGCTGCTGCTGTTGTTGTACTAGTAGTTGTTGTAGATGTTGTGGTTGTTGTTGTTGTTGTTGTCTCACCTGATGATGAAATGTTGTTGTCGTGTTGGCCAGCTTCCGAACCATGTGAGATACGCTTGTTGGTTTTGGAAGGATTGATGGCGGTTGAGTTTTTTCGGCCAATAAAGCTTTATCCATTGTTAGATTATTTTATGATGTGATAGAATTCCCAATTGATTTGATAAAGCAGGATTTATTCAATTAATAGTTCTTATTGATCCAGAATTAAAAATCCTACTTTGTTCTAACTCTAATAGAAACAGACGTTAATCTTGAATTTTGAGAGGGAAAAAAACTTGTTGGCATTACATCTTATATTTTCATAAAAAACTTTTAAACAACAGTATTTTTAATTCATTAGTATTATTTGCGAAAAATTATTTTACTGTTTTAATCTGTATAGAGAAGAACTTTTTGAAAAAGTCTTACAAATAGATTTATTTAAAGTAACGCTACGAAATGGCGTTCGACTCCATTTCATAAGACATCACAGCACAACAAACGTTTAATTTTTTTTATAACCGTTTAAACATCTGATAACATGTGAGAAAACAGACTTATATATAAGACTTATATATATATATATATACCATATACAACATGCATACATAATTATATATATGTGTGTGTGTGTGTCTGGATGTGTGAGCGTGTGTATGTGTTTGTGTTTAACCCCATTCATTTATAAAACATCTAATTATTCACTATAAATAGACAAGAGAAAGAGAAATTTATAGAATCCACTCACTTTCATGTACGTTTTGTATGGCTGAGTGCGAAGCAGGTTGTAGAAAGCAGCACTAATAAAAACCATTAATAAAATAAATTATTAAAAAAGCTTTGTATATATTCATTCACCATCGTCTATATGGTCGGTTGGTTGGTTTAATGGTTGGTATTCTGGTTTATTGCAAGAAGAGACCATAAATATTTATTAGAATAAAATGATAAACTATAATAATTCTGATAACATTATGATGTGACAATAAACAAATTTTATTTGAAAAAATGGGTATTCAACATTACTGATTTGGACCGAAATATAATATGAGACTAATAAAGTTTCCCAAATTCTAAATAGCTTATGGCCTCTGACGCCGATCAACATTGAGATTCCATACTGTGTGATGCGTATCTATATTGAGTTGTCCTCTGGCAGCAACCCTCTTGTCGACAAGAGTATGGTAATCATACATGACTCTCCTGAACTCAGCAATTTCGTATCTGCAAGTCGGACAAAGATATTGCTTCTTCATCCACGTTTTGAAACACACTACATGAAAAGTGTGACCACGAAAGATCGTTCTATGAAATCTTCCCGACATATCGGGCAGATTTTATCCAAGAACTCACCTATGCGATATGGTAGGAAATAATTTTTTTGAACACGATAGCAGAGAGGAAAATAATCTGTGTGATTGATGATCCCATCAACGCCGTCAGAATCGAGGTGCAATTTTGATACATAATTTTTTGGGATATTCTCCACAATCTTTGTAAAAAAGAAATTTTGTTGGTCCATCATTAAGTTGTGCAGTTGGTCCGTGGTAACCGAGGTGAGCAGCATCAACGGCTCCTCATCTGGCATGAGATCCGTGCCTAAGGCAAGCAATTCAACAAGTTTTTGAAACTCTTCTGCTGGCACTTCATATTTGTCCAGATTATCCTCTGCAAACTTTTTATATAAACTCAACTTCTCTTTTTTCTCTCTCTCCTTGAATCCCGTTATGTAATCATCTATGATGTTTTTTAAGCAATTTCTAATCAAGCTGGTTCGAAGCTCAAACAATTTTGCGTGCAAAATTCTTAAATTCACAATCAAGAATTGATTACACTGAGCACAAATTTCAGAAATCAGTACATCGTTAAAAGATTGAATTTGTTAAATCAAGCCATATACCCTGGAGCTTATAAAGTACAGTTACATAGACATGAAATTACGATATACACTTTGGGTCGGATGAGTGTCTTCGTATTCTATTTTGTTATCTATGTTATTTTTTCTATCGTTACTACTATGTATCAATAGTCGGGATCGTTAATAATAATTTTTTAGCGCTTAATTTAACTTAATAACATTAACGACGCACACTTGATTGCGCTCATATTTCGTTTAAGTTAGGGTTTTCCTTGCATTTCAAACGGATCAGGGCGGGACCAAGTTCTTACAACAATCACATCATCAAGCCGACTGTAGAGCACTGAAGTTAAGTAGAAAATTTTCTGTTGTATGACGAGTAAAATCGTAATATGACGTATACGCTTTACATTGAGAAATTAATTGATTTCTCGTTAGAACTAAATGCATTACGAAAAATTTTATTCTACTCTGCCATCTAACGTTCTAAATTGAAATATTAATTTGATTTTGTGTTTAAAGAATTGCTTTTTAACAGGTACAACACCCCTACAACTGAACATACCACTCCACCCCAACATTTTTCCTTCACACTCACAATACAACAAAGAAGATCTGTGAAAATAATTTATAACTAACTCCCGCGAAGATGTTGCTTTGATAATTTGCATTTAATATGTCGTGATGTAATGGTAGGAAAAGTGAAAAAAAGATTTTTCAGCTCGAGAGTTATTGAACATTAAAATAAACTGAACGAAAAAACTGTAACAGCTTCTACAACGCAGGAGTTCAATGTCAGACTTGGAAAATTGGGACTTTAATTCCAAATTATTAGTCAGAATCGATCCAGTGGTTCTCACACGGAGATATCTGCAGAATCACTATAATTCTTGTTATGTTAAATGCCATGTTATGATGGGATGAACATGCGAGCGTGTTTTAGATTAAAGACTCTAATGATTGAATAAAGGTACTGTGAACGAAAGAATACTTCTTATATATTCTGAGGTCGTCGAGAGAGGTGCTCCACAAATCCGGATACAGATATGGATACAGATATAGATATAGATAGAGAGACAGATTCATACATTGCTACAATTGATTTGATTCAGGCAGTTGCACTTGACATAATGGCGACGTACAAAAGCAGAATTTTTATTTTTACATCAAGTTATTTCACCCCAATTCCTGAGGTAGAGAGAAAACAAAAGTTGAACATGCAGCAAGCAAAACTTTATGTAAGTTTTTTTTAAATTTTATTTACAAAAAATTCTTTTAAATTCTTTTAAACACAAAATAGCAATAAAAATAACAACGACATTCACTCGTGTGCCATGAGCGTCTAACGGATGAACGTTGTTTTCCATGCACTTAGAGATACAATGTAAATTTATTTCCGCAATTCATGCAAACACACCTACTGCACACACAAACACATGCACAAACACACACACATACAAAAACACGAAAACGATCACACATACAAACATACACACACAGACATGTATACACGCACGGGCACACACAAAATAAAATAATCTTACATTTACACATTTGCAGAGAGAGAAGAGAGGGAGAGAGAAAAAGAAAGAAAGAAAGAAAGAAGGAGAAAATAAAGAGAGAGAGAAAGAGAGTGAAAGAGAAAGAACGAGAGAGAAAGAAAGAAAGAAAGAGAGTGAGAGAGAGAATACTAGAATACTAGACATATGTATATACTGTATACATATTTATCACACATGTATGGCATATATATTTCTTTACTTCTTGATAAAAAATGTTTAATAAGGGAAAACCTAATATTGTGTGTTGTCAATAGACCAGACATCTTAAAACGAATTTTTCACTATAATTATTTCCACCATGTTATTCATCATCATGCTTGTTGCAGGCTTTCATATTTTTTAAACTGAAATTGAAGATATATTTAGAAAAAAAAGCTTTTTTAATTTTCTTGAAACATTTGCTTTTTATTTCGGTATTTTGATTTGCCAAGATTTTATTTAATTTATTTTATTATTTAAATTTTAATATTTTTATTTCTGCCTTTATGGCTTTTCATTTACTTTTTAAGATAAGATATAATCGTTCCAACGTGTACCTACTTTAATTGCTTCCATCATTCTCTCTGACTCAAGTTTTCAGTAGGAGAGTTCACGTTAATAATTATGTGTGTGCGTGTTTGAATGTGTGTGTCTTTTTTTCAGTCTCTCTCTCTCTCTCTCTCTCAATTCAAGTTTATAATAAATAATAATATTTAAACAATATAATTATAATATAAACACTTATGCAAAATATAAATACTTATGCAAAATAATAATTTATCTCGGAGAGATTTATTTTAAGCTAAATTCGACATGTCATGCATACAGATTAAATGTGGGCATCATATTTTTTCTCTCTTTCTTTCAACCTTTTAGGCATCTCCTTTGCGGATGATAAAGAAATAAATTCAAACGAAGCTTATTTTGTTCATTGTGTATCATATACACAAGCACACATCCATGTGTATTAATTTTTTTATGCTTTAAAATGTTTGTTTGTATGTGTGTATGCATGTGTGTTAGTATTTGTATGTAAGTTGTATCAGTATGCGCTTGTATGTTTGTATGTTTGTTTGTATGTTTGTTTGTTTGTATGTTTGCAATCAGTTCAGAAGCACGTTCTATACTTTTGCCCAAATTCTCATCCAACACAACTCGAAGTTATAAAAAATGGTGTTTGGCTGGTAATTGATAAGAAGTTATAAGTGTGGCACCGTGAGTACTTACGTGCGTGACGTTTGTATGTGTTTCTTTTTGCATGTTATTGTTAATTTTTGTATGTCTGTGTTTATTTTTGTATGTATGTATGTATGTATGTATGTATGTATGTATGTATGTATGTATGTATGTATGTATGTATGTATGTATGTATGTATGTATGTATGTATGTATGTATGTATGTATGTATGTATGTATGTATGTATGTATGTATGTATGTATGTATGTATGTATGTATGTTAAAACCAAAACATGATGAGTGACACTGAACCGTCAAACATCAAGTAACAAATGGATTAACACTTTGATTTGTCGTTAATTGCACATGTCGGCATTCAGTTGGATATTTTCAAGCACACAGACACGCAGGAACCGCTGCAACAAGCACGAAATGTGGTTAGTTGCCAAAAACAGTTCCCTGCTGTCGCATGATCTGACGCTGATCATTTTACATATTGCCTTAAGAAATTTAAGGGTGTTGGGGTCCATCGGGCCGAGAACCTCGATACATATTGGCAAGAATTCCATCTAGGGGAGGGCGTTTCCATATTTTTTCATTTTTTCGTCCGCTGCCCTGGCCGCGGCCAAACTGCATTCTTTACTTGTCAGGTTTACGTACCGTTCGGCGAGGGTGCCAGGGACCGTAACATCTCACGCCAAACATCTGCCGGCTCTCCAAGGTATTAGTGTGCATCCGTCCGGGCGCCTACCATCATGCGCAGAAATGCCGTATGGTTCCTTGAGAACCGGGATTGAAGCCTTGGAGAAGAGCCGACAAATGTATTCGTTTAGCGCTGAGTGACGTAGTTGACGGCCCCCACCCAGGCGACAAACCAAACCGTGGTGCCCAAACTCGTCCGCCCCTGCGCCACATCGGCACGTGTATTTATTCTGAATGACCAGGCCAAGTCTGAAGCCAATGGCAAATCTCACATCACAAACTCGTCGTCAAGCCTGGTGCCCACAGAGGTGTTGGGCCACGATCTCAACCACCCACAGCTGGCAACGCTGGACATGGCCAACAAACGAGCGGTGGAAAAGTCGTCGCCGCATGAAGACAACAAATTTTGAAAGATTTTGTTATATTTTTCGTTCAAAATTTGGACGTGCGTACGGTCCCCCGGGGCGGACACTGGGGGAAGAATATCGCGGCAACGAAAAAACCGGTGGAGCAGGGAAGACTGCAGGTCGAGAGTGGCAGCGGCAGAAGAATTATAAACAACGGGAGCCAGCTGAACCACGCTAAGCAACCCCAGCCCACCAAATCGCACCATACATCGTATGTATGTATGTATGTATGTATGTATGTATGTATGTATGTATGTATGTATGTATGTATGTATGTATGTATGTATGTATGTATGTATGTATGTATGTATGTAAGTATGTATGTATGTAAGTATGTATGTATGTATGTATGTATGTATGTATGTATGTATGTATGTATTTATGTATGTATGTATGTATGTATGTATGTATGTATGTATGTAAAAACCATCAACTCGCTCGCCAATGGGTCTCGTATAGAGGCACATTTGGCGATATTTTCCGAGAGACAGAAAGCATTACACTTTTGTAACAAAAGCGAAACATTTTGTTTTGTAAAGATGAAAGGTTATGTTTATTTGGATCGCCAGATATTTGAACTATTTTTGAACTTATATTATCAATAAAAAACTGTGTTTCTTTATTAATGGGTCCAAACGTTCCAATACAAATTGGCAGAAAAAAAGTTTTGTATTGTCATTTAAATCTTTATATTCATTATTCCGAAAATCTGCAGCTCCTATCTTATTGTAGGTTACACTTCACACTCCACGCCAAACAACAGCCACGGGAACACGGAGGGAGAGGAGTGCAACCATCCAGTCTGTTATTACTCTCTGAGTCTAGGCCTGCTGGTATGTACATATTCATGTATGTAATATATGTGTATTATTATTATTATTGTTCTTATTATTGATATTATTATTATTGTATTGATATTATTATTATTGTATTGCGAAATACGAGAGTTGGCAGACTTCTACTAGCTCACTATTTTAGTTACATTAATCGAGTTTTATATCGTTTTAAAGTATAAAAAATAGGTGTAAAAATTGCGAAAAATTATGACGAATAAAATGATATTAATTTTTCATAATTCTAAATATCTATTAAATTTAATTATAATTTTTAACTTAATTTTAATAATAAATGCTGCAAAATGCCCATATTGCTTTAGAGATTTTGTTAAACTCGGAAGCCACTCCTGGCGTTGTACAAAATCTACTGCAAACAGTAACAATTACAATGATGCACGTTTACAAACAGGTGACAATATCATAATTTCTCCAAATTTACTGGCCGATAATTTAAATAATAATATTGCCGTTGATACTGATAACAATTTAACAACTTGTTGCTGTGGTAGACGATGTAAAGGGAGAAAAGGTTTGCGAATGCATCAACGATCGTGCAAAACATTCAAGAACTTGCAAAATTCGAGAAAATCTCCAAATGATCCAGAAACGGATTCCAAATTGACGTCATCTCCGATGCAACAGAAAGAATCTCCACCGCCGCCAACATCATCGCCACCGGCAAACAACATCACGAACAATACACCACTCCCAGGGATAAAACTACCCAAAACAACAACTCATTGGCTTGAAGCCAATGCATATTTCCACTCTCAAATAGCAACACTGCCAAACATTACTGACATCAATAACTTCACTACCACTCTACAAACACTAATATACAATTATTTCGCATCAAACTACGGCACTCTTAATCAAAAATCAAGCTCAATAACAACACTCGATAAACCAATCAACAAACTAAAGTCAGAATTGAAACAATAAAATTTTTCAACAAAATTTTAAAAGACCCATTTCACAATAAATATCGCCTTCCAAATCGGAATCTATAAAATTTTCTCAACATTTGTAAACAATAGAATATACAAATATTTAGATTCAAACAACTTCATTAATAAAAACATCCAAAAAGGCTTCTACCCCAAAGTTGACGGTGTAGCTGAACACACGCAACTACTATCTCACCTTCTAAAGGACGCCAAGAGACATCAGAGGACAATCATTGTTACCCTCCTAGATTTAAGAAATGCATTTGGCGAGGTTAGCCATGATCTAATTTCATCGATCCTAAGTTATCACCACATCCCAAACCAGGTCAGCAATCTAATTAGATCAATATACGCCGATTACTCGATAACTGTATCGGCGTGCAACAAACTAACCTCCCCAATTCAAGTAAAAAGGGGGGTCCTACAAGGTGACCCAGGCTCACCATTGATTTTTAACCTCTGTTTCAATCCTCTAATGAAAATGCTAGAAGCAAAACAATATTAACAATGCGGATACATATGGGGACCAACAGCTAATCTAAAATCCAGAGGCTGGTTTCAGTTTACCGACGATTCGGCAATCATTGCTAACAGTTCCGAGAGTGCCCAGAGACTGATCAATCTCAGCCAAACATGGTGCAAATGGACGGGTATGAAGCTGAGAACTGACAAATGCTGTACATTTGGGATGAGAAAGCTGGACGGAAAGTATGAGCAGTTTTTGCCTCAATTAACAATAGATGATGAAATAATTCCCCGGGTGAATATTAACGAAGGTTTTACGTACTTAGGAATAATGTACGATTTTGAAGGCAAAGATACCAGAGAGAAAGACAAACTGCACAATAAGCTCAAGGTTATGCTGAAAAAATTGGTGGACTGGATATAACTGTTCAATGGAAGCTGGAAATCCTTAGGCGTTTTGTCCCTACTCAAATCTCATTTGAACTACGCACCTACAATATTTCGCTAACCTGGATAGAAAACACACTGGACCGCCTTGTGACAGAAACAGTAAGAGAATGGCTATCACTGCCTATAAGCAGTTGCATCGCCGAAGTTAGCTCGCTGCCGTATAAAACTGGTGGCCTCAACATAAAATCGTTGAAAGAGCACGCCGAGATACTTGAACTGACTGTCTGCCATGAAACTAACTTCATAAAATCAAAACAATTTAAAATGAATAAATATATTGGTAATTTGAAAGATAGTATTATTGATGACTTTAAGCATTGCAATATTTTAATTAATACCTTTGAAATATCGCCAATTGGCTTTTACAATCCTTTTAATATGTCTTTAATTGATATAACTTGGACCGATTATTTTAGATTTAGCTTGATTAACAGTGTAATTTCGTCATCATATGCTCTGTACTATGATAGAAACAATGAGTGAAGTTTTTTATACTATTTATCATCATGGTACTTACTTATTTTCATAAGATGACGAGCAATGATGACTATCCGTATTACTCTAACACTTTATCTTTATTTTATTTTATTTTATTCATGTAACTGTATATTTAACTATGTTCAATTTTATTTCATTGTCAATATTTTGATTTTACTTATGCTCTGTCTTTGGAAAATAAAAGAGTTCACATTATTGATATTATAATTATTATTATTATTATTGGTCAAATTCATATCGCGCCAATTATAATTTCAAATTTTCATCAGCCAGCACTCAATGTTCATAAACTAAAATAAAATAATTCATAGCAATGTACGTACGTATGTATGTATTGTTATACAATACATCCCTAAATAATGTTATAGAAAAAAGATGGTCAAGCTTGTTAAAAAATGAGATTGATAATAGTATTATGATATGCTGATATATATGTATGTATGATATATTTAGGATAAGTTATCTATGTTATATCATACTATATCTATAGATATAAGACTATCCTCTTGTTGCATGTATTGTATTTACTGCCTGATTATATACTGTCTTCTGCACATAAGAAGCTTTGCATCTCGTTCTTATGAATGTTTAAGAAGATTGAAATTTCGTTTAAATAATCTTTTAGTAAAAATGGTTCGTTATTTTTATTACATTTTAATTTGTAAATTACTAATTATATGTATCGTGTACGTGTGTGTGTATGTGTGTGTGAGTGTGTGAGTGTGTGTGTGTGTACGTGTTTGTTTTTATGATTTGTTGTTAATTTGTTAAAAAAGGTTATTCATTAATTTTATTTGCATTTTATTTGCAAAAAAATTTTAAATATAATTTTTATAAAAAATTAATAAAATCTTTATTCTTTATTATTATTATTCTTCTTCTTATTATTATTATTGATAATATTATTATTATTATTATTTATTATTTTTATTAATAATAAAAATAATTTTTTAACCTGTTCTTTGAATCATCTACCTTGATCAACTAACATACATACACGCACACACATACATACACGCACACACAAGCACACATAAAAACACACACACACATACACACGCACACATTCACGCACACGCACACTGTATTTATTACCATCATTATTCTAACAATTCACTTTGATGAAATGTAATATTATTTTATACCAACATTTTGATTTTTGTACACATTATCATCACCATCATGGTCATTATCTTTGTCATCATCATCATCATCGTCATCATCGTCATCATCATCATCGTCAGATGTATGTATGTTGAAAGGCAAACAAAACTTTTACTACAAACGTAACTGTTATGGAAAATGGATTTAAGTACTTCTTTCTCTCTCTATCTTGTCTATTACATACACACGACAAACACACCACACACACAAACACACACACACACACGCGTGCACACACACACACTTACACACACACACTCTTTCTCTGTCTTTTTCTATTTTTCTCCTTCTCTCTTACAGATACACAGATTCACACACACAAACACACACATACGCTCTTTCTCTTCCTTTACAGATTCTCAAACAGACACACACGTACGTACACACACACACACACACACACACACACACACACACACACACACACACACACAACACACATAAACTATACAAAACAAACAAATGAACATACAAATATAAATGTAAACTACACAAATGTTTTCGTGCAAAGATTTACATGCATTAATTGATTTACACAAAAGTCATTTCTCTCATTTCTTATCATATCCCATAGAATTGCATCGCGTAATCGCGTAGACGGTGAATATGGAATTTATTATGTATTATTATCATCTTTGTTTATCATATATATATTTTGATTATATATATATATATGTGTGTGTGTGTGCGTGTGTGTGTGTATTCACTTATAAATAATTAAAATTATAAATTTTTTATATATAATATATATATATATTATTTATAAAATTTGTCTGTATATATTCATTCAACTTTTAAATAGCAAATCAATGAATGGCAAGCACTTGAAGATACGCGAATGTAAAAATGAGACTGGTGGATTAACTTATTATTAATCTTACTGTCATTATTCGTTAATGTAAGTGTTGATATATTTGTTGGTTAAAAGTGGATCTAGGCAAACATTACGTCATTTCATCGTTTCCACCAACGGAGTATATTAATCAAAAATGCTAAATCGCATCTCCACCACACCGACATCAGTGGCGGCAGCAACGAACGCAGCTGCAGCAGCAACATCTTCAACATCAACAGCAACAGCAACAACAACAGCAACACTTCATCAACTTTTTACTCATCTCACAACAACAACAACAACATTACAACAACAACAACAGCAATGCCAACACGACTCCCGCATAAAACACGCCGAGGGCTTGGCCTTCACAATTATCGTGCCGACCATCTGCTGCATAGGAATGCTTCTAAACTTCACCATCTTGTTAATTCTTAAGTCGAAAAGGAATTTTCCTGAGTCAACTTATTTCTATTTGTTCCATTTGGCTCTGGCCGATTTCCTAACTTTGGGATTCTTCTGCCTAAACAGTGTCGGGAAAGGTTTCTACCCAAAGAGTTTTCATTGGCGAATGTATGAGATTTATGTTTATTTTTATTTTGGATCTATCTGCTCCAACGCCAGCATTTTCATTACTGTTACCGTTACTGTTGAAAGGTTGGCGCTTGTTTTGCTTGTTGTTTTTTTTGTTGTTATTATTATTGTTGTTGTTAATTTTTTTCTAATCAGTTTTCAGAAATATTAAAAATACTCACGTCGTATAACTCACATTGCGTGTGATAAAATACGTTGGGATACACCATCATCACTTTCATCACCCACAACACCATTATTTTCATCTACAGCCACACCACCATCGTCTTCATCTACAACTACACCATCAACGTCTTTATCGTCTCACTCAGATTCATCTTCATCATCTTCATCCATCCCATCCTCATCATTTTCATCATCTCAGATTCATCTTCATCTACAAACCTGTAACCTCAAAAATTTACTGCACGCGGAAAACAGCTCGCAGGGTTGTGCTGGCAATTTGGATCTTTGCTATCTCCTTCAATTTACCAAGGTAGGATGATGATGACGATGATGATAACGATGATGAAGATGATGATGGTAGTGATGGTGGTAAAGATGATGATGATGGTGGCGATGAAGTGGATGATGACGACGACAACAACGATGAAATAAACATAGCTCTGCTTTGAACGATTGTTTGAAAAATTGATAAAAATTTTTTGAAATTTTTAACTGGGAATTAAACTATACAAAATGTATTTCTGATGTTGCGGTATTGTATTGTATAATATTTTTTGTATTGTAGGCTTTGGTATCGTACACTACACCGAATACTGTGGTTTTGTATTTCATTATGTTGTGTTGTTCTTGTACTGTATTCTGTTGTATCGTGTTGTATGGGTTTATATTGTAACATCTATGTATCAAACAATGTAGGTGTGTTATAATACTCTACGGTGAAAATTTTTTTATATAATAATTATTATCATTCACGATGATTGTGTGGTGATAAAAATATGATGAATAAATATTGGTGAAATTATTTATAATAATGATAAAATGATAAAAAAAGGAAAACCTATTACTTTGAATTCTAAAATTCACTGGGAAAAATTGATAGGCAGTGGCCAAAAATGATGACGAGCTAATTATGATGGTGACGACGACGACGATGATGATGGTGGTGTCTATGAAACATTTATGACGCAATGGGCGTTTGATAATGGGAAATGGGAAATGATGATAAGTAATGATGTCACCAATGATGATGACGTCAACGATGTTGATGACTGCAGAGGTAATGATGATGACCGCAGATGTAAGGACAGTTAGTACTGTTATGATTAATGAAATGAGCATTGACAGCAATGAGTGTAGTGATAACAAATTATGCGATAACACTGGTGATGACGATGACGATGAGGACGATGATGACGACGATGATGAAGAAGACGACGACGATGATGAAGATGATGACGACGACGAGATTATGATGAAAATTTAGACGTCTTGATGATTGTGTAGATGAAAAATATCTCGAAAAATATAACATCCATTTATGAATAAAAAAGATAGAATCAAAACATTGCTCGTGTTTTGATGGATAAATAAGCCTTTGCTCCAAAGATGTACGTATGTCTATGTCTATGTTTATATGTATATATATATATATATATATATATATATATATATATATATTGTCAGAAATGCAATTATTGATGAAAATCACAGCATGTTCCGCGTTAGTTAGCTTCCTATTTAATTTTTCGATTTCCCCAACTGTAGATCGTAAATCATTGTCAAGTTTCTTGAGTTCAAAATCAAAATTTTTATTTATTTAAAGCATGATAGAACTGAAAAGCTTTTTTCGGTATTCCTATACCATCTTCGGTGTTCGAATTGAAACGTTGTGTATGTGGCCAAATATGTATATGTGGCTCAAGTATAAATGTATTGTGTCTTTACAATATATATATATTTATATTTATATTTATATATATGTATATATTATATATTATACATGTCTATTTTTGTTAAGGATATAGATACTAATTTAAACAATACAATACAAATCAATTCAATACAACGCAATTGAATACAATCAACAAAACACAATGCGATACAATAAAATGAAAATATACATACAAATACCGATACAATACGATACTAATACAGATACAATACGACACAATACAATACAATAGAATACAAATACAATTACAGATTATTCTCCATGACATGGAGTGAAGATGGTGTATTAACATTTACAACATTTGGTCAGAGCTCCTGGTACAAGTAAGTGAATTAATGATGAATTAGTCGTGAATTGCTGAACTAATTCACAAGTGCATTATTCATTTGTATTGTTTAAGTGTTAATATATGTTTATGTATATGTGTGCGTGTGTATGTTGTTTGTTCATGTGTTTATGTGTGTGTGTGTGTGTGTGTGTGTATTTGTTTTGCTTGTTTGATGTGTGTGTAACTTTTTTAGCATCATGAAAATTAATGAAAAAGACGCAGTTTGGCCATAATAGAATCCATAAATGCAGATAAAAATGTAATGCAATGTAGGAATACATCGGAAGGAACAATGCTAAATCATATTTTCATATTTTCATCCACTTCAAATCCTCAAAAACTGAGCGTTCATATCTTTGAAAATTAAAATTAAACACATTTATGAACTGCCTCAAGATTTAAATAAAGGAGTTTTTGGATTTAGCTAATTATTGGTGGAAAAATTGTTGTAAAGTTGTAGGTACGATTTTTATGTATTTATCAACAGAATTTTAATATCTCAGAGTAATTCATGCGCCAGAACATTCATTGCTCAATGTTCATTAATTTCAGTTTTATTTTCTAAACTTTCAGAGTGGAATGCGGATTTCACTGAAAATCAGATAAATTTCAGTTACATTTCATTGTTTTTTGTTGAATCTTTGTTCGTTTTAAATAAATAAACTGATTAACTTCTTTCTACATGCCATACAGAAACGTAGAAACTCATTTAATTTTTTTAATTACATTTATTTAGCAGGGACTATTGCAGCTGTCTAAATTTGATGAATATTGAAAAATGTCTGAAAAAGTACGTCTGCATGTGTGTGTTTCTGTGTTTGGATGTGTTGTGTATGTGCGTATTGTGTGTGTGTGTGTGTGTGGTATGTGTGTATGTGATGTGTGTGTGTGATGTGTGTGTGATGTGTGTGTGTGATGTGTGTGTGATGTGTGTGTGTGAGTTCGACGACACGAATGAAAAAGTTTGATGGAACGAACAGCTTATTAGGATTGCACGAGCGGTTGAACTAGCACGTATGAACTGACTGTCAGATAAATTTGATAACATGTAAATGAAAAAAGTACACAACAGAAGTTTTTAAAATTTATAAAGATAAGCAAACGCAACAAAATACATTCAGCTGCACCCATAAAAGAACATTCTATAGACCAACAAAAATAAAGAATCAAATAGCATAAAACAAACAAGTTGCTAAGCAAAATAAAATCCATAGATTCAAACACCAAAGTAAACATCTGAACAAACAAAATGTAACACACACACCACACGCACACATGCACGCATACAAGCACTTTTTCCTATTTATAACAACTCGTTCCTAAACTAACATCACATTTTTGCACATTTCTAGAGTTCTGAATGATTGATCTTTCATTAAAAAATTTTTCCTCCACATCTTTCAAGACAGACTTCAAATCATGCGCTTTCCATAACATTCACCGATGCAACATTTTGTGTGTGTATTTCGTGGTACTTGAGTACCAATTTTCTATGGTACTGTTTTAGTACTTGAGCACCAAACTTTGTTGTACTTGGTTTTTGCATTTTTACTTTCGGCTCTGTTGTTTTAATTTTGATATTTGCACCTGATTTATAGATGATAATACCTGAAATGTTTGTGCGGGTGATGTGTTTATCTTCCTTTATTAGACTGTGCCTTCATTTCTGCATGTAGAAATGATATATGTACGTGTAGTTGCTGCTCGAATGCAGTTGTTGGCACTGCCCTAGTGACTTTGCTCTCATATCACTTAGTTGTAATTGTTTTTTTATTGATAGATGATAATTAGCCAACACGCGTTGAACTCATTCGATGGAAAAGTGAGCCACCTTTCAAAATAATACATACATCCTAATTAGATCATGCTGTGTTTTGTGTTTGCACATACAAATATGTATACAAATGTATGAAATGAATGAGTTCACAAATATGAATGGATATACAATTATGAATACAAAACGAACACACATTTAACTTCATTTCGTGAATGCATAGAAGATTGCGTCTGCTAATTGAACATTGTCAACTCATGGTACGTTTGGTGCACGCGTTGCAACTGTCATAGATGGCACATCATCATTGGCATTTCGTCCTCGTCGTAGCATCAATTATTTTTTTAATTTTTTTTTACTATTTTTTTACAATATTATTATTATTATTTTACTTATTTTTATTTTATCACATATTTTTATTATATAAAAATCAACCAGTCAACAAAAATTTTTTTATTACAACGATATTCTCTTCACGAATGCATGGCATTAGAGCTGATCGCTAGGATTAAACGGTAGACTACCTATGTTATGGGCTCTTCTGAGGTTTTATGGCGATTATGTCGCTACAGCCGCTGCCACTGCTGCTGATGATAATGACGATGATAATGATGATAGTAGTAATCATTATCATTATCGTCATCGTCATGAAAAATATGGGTCCATGATTTTGATAAATATAATGGAGATTATTATAATTGTGAATTTAAACTACTATTTTCAATGAAACCTGAAAAAATTGAAAATTTTTCTGGAGAAAAAGATTCATCTTTATTTGTACATTAAATTAAAAGAATCGAAGTAATTTTTCTCTGTTAGGCGTTGCAATGTTATTTAATTCGGTTCATGTTGTCTGAGTGAAATCCTAATTAGAAAGAAAAAACAATTTTGCTTAAATTGAATATTGAATTGAATAAAAAAGAAGAAATAAATCTTTTGAAAATTGTAAATCAAATTATTTGTATGGGATTAGTCATTTGCTGCCCATTCGAACAAACAATAAACTTAGGAAACGATTTCTTTTCCAAGCTAACTCATAAAAATAAATAACTTAATTTTAAGCCCGGATAGGCCCTACGTGTATGTATTAATATATATGTTATAGCTTTGAAAGCCACTAAAACAGTCGATCTCTCGAAACAACATTTATATATCTAACAAATTTTAAGGATCGTCAAATTGCGACACCACCAAGAATAGCAACAAATAAAAGTTAGCTATTGGTAAAACAGAAATAACTTATACAAAAATCTAACAAACAAACAATAAACATCCATTTAGCAGCATAAAGACTAGAGAACAATCGCATACAGAATCATACAAATACATATAACATTAACAATACTAAACATACAATTACAAACATATAGCAACAACATACAAAAACATACAAATATGTACAACATACAAAACATACAAATACATATATACACAAACAACAACACACAACCCCAAAAGGAATGCCTCCATTCGTAAAACACAATTAAAACACCATATGTGGGACTAGAAATTTATGCAAAAGTGATCATGTGAATGAACATCCATTCGCATTCGAATACACACACACACACACAAACACACACACACACACACACACACACACACACACACACACACACACACACACACACAAACACACACACAAATACACACACGCGCGCGCGCATACGAACACACACAGCGTATTAAATTTGGTTTAAAGTTTAATAATTTTCATTTCGTAATTTTTTCATTGATGCGTTGAAAACTTTAAATGAAAAAAAGATTACTAAAGTTAGTTTGTTTCTTTTTTCACTAAATATTTTGATAATCCATTTTGAATGCATGCATTAGTTAAGAATATAGCAGAAAAAAATATTTGAGTAAACCACACATACAAAACAACTTCTGCAAACATTATTTCCAGTTATTTTCATTCTTCTCAATAAAAAGGTGATCTAGTTTAGGAACATCGCCAATTATGACCACCACAAAAATATTAAAAAAAAATGAAATGACAGCATTTTTCTACGTCATAACAACGACAATGTATGTAAATATGCGTGAATGAAAGCCTGATCGCACCACAACTCAATTACTGAAACGTGAAACCGCCGTCCGAACGGAGTACCAGTCATCATCTCACTCTCTCCCTTCCACTGTAAACGAAAGAAAACTACACGTAAGCTAAGCTGATTTTTGCGTATATTTTGTTGTGAAAATTTTATAGGCAACACTGATTTTATGAAAGAAAGAACGAGCCAAGCTAACTTCATCCGTCACACTGAGGAGAGGAGTCATTTCAATAGAAGATTTTTATACTAGAGGGTGACAATTTACGAAATAGAAGAATGATTACTCGTTTGTAAAGTAACTAAAATATAAACACAGATGCGCACATACGTTCGTTAACGCAACAATACATACGCACGAACTTACGGAGAAACTTAAAGTTACACAAACGAAGAAAATAAATAATTTCAATCACAACATACGGCCATAGCATCACGTTTTTTTTGAAATAACTTTTACAGGATACCTAATTCGGATTAAGTTTACATTTCGAAAATCAAATTACGTCCAGTGGAAATTAAAATTTTTATTTCTTTTAAACTTTTATTTTATTTTGAAAAACTTTTGTTCGTGTAGGCTAGAAAGGCTATTAAAATCACCTCTGATAATTCAGAATAAAAATTATTCAAAATAAAAATTATTTCATCGGCATTGTCAGCAGAGTAGCAAATGTTTCAACAACAAAAACAACAACGTTACACGCATACAGTTACAGATACAAATCTAGAAAACAAACAACAACGTTACACACATACAGTTACAGATACAAATCTAGAAAATCTAGATACACATACAGATATAGATACACACACATACCAAATGTTAAAACCGCGGGAATGATCAATTTGCGTAATACGATTAATTTCAATTAATTATTATTATCGTGGTTATTTGTTATCTTTGTTATCTTTGCTATATTTGTAATCTTTGGCGTTGGAAAAATAGGATCTTTGAAGTTATAACACTGGTGTGGTGCTTTTAAGTTTACAAGAATACATAGATCACCAATGCAGCTAGGAGAGCAAATACAAAACTTCAGTTAAAAGTTGACGTCACGAATTGATTGGTCACGTGGTATTGAAATTCATTTTCTTCTAAGGACACTATTTAATTAAAAATCTCCAAAAATGTTTCTAAAAAAAATATCTTTGATATATCAATGTCACAGCGGAGTGTTTTTTAGTTTGTGTGCATGTTTGTTTGTGTGTGTTTGTTTGTTTGTTTGTTTGTGTGTTTGTGTGTGTTTGTTTGTTTATGTGTGTGTTCGTTTGTTTGTGTGTGTGTGCTCGTGTAAAACAAATGATTTATTAATTCTTATCCAAAGAGCGTTCGATCGTAATAAAATGATGGTAATCATCTTCAGGGCATTCATATGGATGTACTTCGCAGTGACCACAGTGGCCAGTTCGTGCAGTCTCATCATCTTCAACACCCTCCTCATCATCGCCATCCACAAACGCAGAAATCAACAAAAATTCAACAAGTACGGCAACAATTACGTCACCACCAACAACAACCTCAACGATTACGTCATCAACAGCAATAACAACAACATCAACAACAACAGCAGCAGCGCAACTTCACAAATTCTGGCAACTACGAATAACTTGTTGACGTCGTCGGCGCTAACTCTCTCACTTCCGCCTGAGCTCATCACGAAGATTGAGAACAGCATAAAAAATGATTTCGTCGTTCGAGGCCACGAAGGCAACAGTGACGTAACGAACAGCAACGATGACGTCATCAACAGTAATAACATCAACGACAAAATAATTAGCAACAACTTCAACAACAACAACAATAACAACAACAACAACAATAACAACAACAACAACAATAACAACAACAATAACAACAACAACAATAATAATGATTATAATTCTATTGTTTCGACTTTTATAGGCGGTAACATTAACAACACTTATGAGAGAGGCACGGCAAGAAAATCATGTCGCAACAGTTTTTACGAAAACATGAACACTTCAAGTATCAACATTAATAATTACAGCAACAAAAACAACATCAACAACAACATTCACAACAATAACAATCCTATTTTTAACAACACCATCGATCTAGATTATAACAATATAGACAACAACACAATGAATGATGTTATAAATAACAACAACAATAATTCCATAAGCAACAACAACAACAACAACAGCAACAACAATAGTAATAATAATACCATTAATAACAACAACAATAACATTAACAACAACAACAATATCATAAACAACGACACACATATTGACTTTGAGAGCGCTCCGATCGTAAGTAACATTCAAAAACGCACCAGTAGTTACGATAATGTAGAATACATTAATCTAAACAACAACACGAATGACAACAGCAACAATAACATTAACAAGAAATACAACAACAACAACAACAACAACAACAACAACATCAACATTTATACCATCGATGCAAAAAACACGGCCGATAATTTTGGATACACTTGCATAAAAAACGCGAGCGATAATAAGTCAAAAAACATGATCGATAATGAAAACAAAGAACCAAAGAACACAGCAAAGAACATTGTAAAGAAAACAAACGCAGACCGTATCTTCGGCAGCATAAACAACAGCCTCGATAGCTTGGATAATTTAAGTAATGTTAGTTCGGTTGATGTATTTTTCTTCGATAATGACAACAACGACAAAAATAATAATACAAACAACAATAACATTATCATCAACAACAACAGCAACAATGACATTTTTAACACCAATAACGCAACAACAACAAACAATAACCAGCCCAACGACGGATTTTTATACAGCCGAGCCATCAGTATAAGTTGCAACACACTCAACCAATTCAGATTCGGGAAAATGGCAAAACAACAACATGAACCACAACAACAACAACAACCACAACAACTAAATAGCAGCACAAACGATCGAAACGTAGACAACAACAACCTCATCAACACAGACAAAGTGGAACCCACCAGCGAAAACACTTCGCCCCTTCGATCATTCATCTCAAAATCCGACCAAGAACTCAAGCAAAACGTCTTTCAGACCAATCTTAAAAAACTGAAAGACAAAAAAGTTCAGATATACAGTCTGGCCGCCATGTCGCTAGCGAACAGGCGACAGCAGAAACAGCAGCACCACAAGCAGCGGGAAGACATTGCGCTGACCTTGACATTGATTGCCGTCGTTGTGGTTTTTCTACTGGGGGAAATCCCCAGTGCAGTATTTAGTAGAAATATTGTCGGGCCGATATTTGGTTGGTTGTTGGTGGTGATGACGTTGTTGGTCTTGCTGCTGATTGGTTGACTGACTGGTTGGTTGATCTGTTGATTGATTGGTTGATTGATTGGTTGTTGATGTTGTAGACGGGTGGTTGGTCGTTTATTTTAGCTAGTTGCTGTACTAGATATAGATATCAATTTATCTTATAAATTTTATTTAGTTGCTGCATTTGCGTCTTCATTAATTTATCGTGTCACTAAATGTTTTCAATACCATTTTAATACGCAACATTAATTCTGCGCTCGTTCCCCCAAAGAACTCGACAAACAACTTTTTAATTTTTTCACTTTTAAATCTAAATCTAAAAAATGTCTAAAACCAGCATTACATTTCAAGAAGACAAAATCTACATATAAACTCGACAAAACAACAAAAACGCTCGCATACAAACGCAAAAACTAAACATAACATGCGTGAATGTTTATAATACAGACATGTACACCCCATACAAACGTGCATACACACAAACACATACATGCAATCACATACACAAATTCACACTTTTAGGCAAACAAAGGCATACTGCATTTATAGAAACAAACATAAAATTATACATTTGCAAATAAACATACATGCATACAACTGCACGCATAAAATTGAACATATAAGCATGTATACAAAACGAAACTAAACCAACATACAAACCTTAAAGTACACTTGGACTATAGCACACATTATACATTCACAAATACAATAAATCCTCAAAAGTATCAACACACAGAGCACATATGAAAGTTATAGATCTATTTGCAGTCGAACCCGGCCACTGGAACACTGTGATTAAGCGCCTCAACCATTTACCTACCAAAACGTATACGGATATTAAAAATTCAAACAGGAAATGAGACATTTACGAAACCCGGATACCGAATCGCTCTGATAGTCGGAACGATACTGGTCACCTGGCAGCACTCGACCAACTTCATCATCTACTACGTTCTCAATCATAAATTCTGTAATGTCGTTAAGAATAAGGTGAAGACGACTAAGATGATGACAAGTGATTCTGATTATTTAGATGACGATGATAATGATTGAACGATGATAATGATTGTCATATTGAAGATGATGATAATGATTTTGATGATGACGTTATTGACAATGATGATGATGATGATGTTGTTGCTGTTGATGATGATGTTGTTGATGATGATGATGATGATGATGCTGTTGATGATGATAATGATGATTTATGATAATAATACCAAAGGTTTTTTTTGTTAACAGGTAAAGTTTTTTTTACTTTGGCTAAAGAACTGGAGCAAAACTAGAAAATCGAAATGCTGATAATGTTGAAGAAAGGGGATAAGAAATGAAAGAAAAAAATAACATTCGAAAAAATTATGAAAAAATTATTTTTTTGATGTTTTGTCTTGTTTATGTGTTTATTTGTGTATATATGTATGCATGTACACGTGTGTGTGTATGTATGTGTCTACGTGTGTGTGTGTGTGTGTGTGTGTGTGTGTGTATGTATGTGTAGGTTTTGTTCTGTGTATGTGTATGTGTATGTGTACATATTTGTGTGTATTTGCATGTATTCATCATTTGTTATCAAGCTTGTCACCAATGGGTCAAAGTCAACATCATATTTATCACCAATGTTGAAGAGGTTCATCTGATAATTTTTCACATAAAAATTATTTATTAATATAATTTATTTTGTCGTTTGCAAACAAATCTTACGAAGAAAATTATATTTTTCTGTTTTTTGTTGAATATTAATATCATTGTAGAAATAGAGTTTTAGTTTTGAATAATATATATTCATCTCACGGTTATTTCAATTTCATTATTTGCGATTCCAATTTAGAATTTTTAAGAGGTACCGACATGGAAGAAGCGTTTGATTAAATTATTTATGCCTGGCCAGACATCAGCAAAGACATCTAAGCATCAATTTACTTCTTCTTCTTTCTCGTGCCTTATCCTGTCAAGACATTGGCGACCATCGACCTCCACAAAACCCGATCTATAACACTTTGTAGTAGTTGAAATGTGGTGATATTCAACAAGTGGCACAAGGACATCACGAATGTTATTCGTTGTTGACCGCGATCTCTTTTCCCTGCAATCTTTCCAGCAGTTGTTAGATTTTCCATTCTTTCCTTCCGCATGATGTGACCTAAAAACCCCATTGGATGATCTGTAGTAATTTCCTCTTTTCATCATCGGACTGTTTTAATACATCCTCATTCGAAGTATGAGAGGTCCAACTAATTCTCATAATTCTTTTCAGAGACCACATCTCAACAGCGTTAATCTTTTTTTCCATTTCTTTAAAAAGTGTCCAGGACTCAGAGCCGTAAGTTAGCACAGAAAAAATGTAACACCCTGACAGTTTTAATTTTGTTGATATTCTGATTTTACTGTTGGTGATGATGTTTTTCATTTTAGAATATGCATCTTTCGCCATAGCTACCCTTCTTTTGATAACCACGTCACATTTGCAACCTGAGATAATCAGACTTCCGAGATAATTGAAGTCGTTGACCTGTTTCATTTGTTTATCATTAATAATTATGGAACAGAGATGTTTAGAAACAATCGTTTGCAGTTTTTCCATTGAATTCACTATAATTCAATTCAATTCAATAATCTTTTTATTCAGCAAACACATGCGGAAAAAACATATGTTATTCGCTAGGAGACCGGAAGCTCGCACTTGTAGGGCCACCCAGATCAAATAAAGACAAAATACTTCTAAATAAACATAAGTAACAAAAGAAGAGTCTCAAAAGTCCATACACACACATACACGCAATTATATCCATTCACTTATTTACCAAATAAGAGCTGTACCATCAGCATATCTTACATTGTTTATATTCAAACCTCCAATGGATATTCCAGGTAGATCGTCTGTCTTTCTCATGATGATCTCTATATAGTGATTGTACGAGTCTGTAGAGAATACAAAACCTTGCCTAACACGCATAATTATGATACGTATATGGGGGCTAATCAACGCTTATCAAGTAATAGATAATAATTTGTTTGCAATAATCATATTTAGTGGTGATCATGTTATGATTCAGAGTGGCCCTGTCAATAAAAAAATCCTTGTTATGTTATGTTATAATTCAGAATAATAATGCTAAACATAATGTGCTACATTGCCAATTCATTCAAACTAAAATAATGCCCTTGTCCACAAAAAAAACTCTGATATTTTTTTAAAAGTTTATTTACCCGTGTAATAGTATTTGTATAGTTTCTTATTTGAACCACAATTTTTAGCCACTATTTACGGTTATACACTAGCCCGTATTACTCTCTAGAAAAACTGATTAAAACTTTAAAATTAAATTTTACTTTAATATATTTAGCAAACACAAAAAAAGTTATAACAAAATGTAAAAATGACACTGGTCGACGTGACAAAACTCAGCTGAAACATCAGAGATTTGAATAATATTCAAATGCTACTAATTTCAAAAATTCAAATAGGATCAGTACAATAAAACCGAAAATGCAAATTTAACTTCTGATAACTTTTGCACTAGTTTGGGTCTTTTGCAGTAGAAAATTCCCCCATCAATTACAAGAACCTATTATATAAAATATGTGAAAATATTCTGAAAAAAATATAACAAATCACACCATAATATATCATTATATTTCCTTATATATCATTATATGATCTGTTTTAAAACAATTTTTCAAGGCCCATTTGCCTAGTGTCAACAATTTTTGTGCCAATTCTGGATATATAAAGAGCTAAAAAGCCAAGTCCAATTTGAACAGTTTTGGTTTCTCCAATAAGGGTTTGACATTTTTCTACATTTAAGCTAATTTTTTAATAAAAATTGTATCAAATGAATTTTTTTACCATTATATAGCAGCCATCAATTTTTCAAATATTAATATTTTTTAAATTTAAACGGTAGAATGAAGATCCTCCGCTTTTTTGTGTTAACTTTTTTGGGTAATTTTAGTACTGTTTCATTCCATTTTGTAATTATTCCCTTAATTTTTATTGAATTTTTCAAAACTTTTTTACACTTTTTAATATTTTAATTCATTTAAATTTGTTTAGCCTTAAAAACAAATGAATTATTATTACAATTAAAAAAATAATTATAGTTTTCCAAGTTGACGCTGTCACCGAAGCTGAACAAAGTGCTGCTGTAGCAGAGGCTAAAATTAAGCAGCGTAATATAATTTATTTTTTACACACACACACACACACACACACACACACACACACACACACACACACACACACACACACACACACACACACACACACATAAACAAACACAACCCACACATAGTCAATGATATCTATCTCAATGAGGATGATAAAACGTGCAGAACTGGCTCAAGTCACCGATTGACATCCAAACTTTCAGAACAGTCGGACAAAGTGAGGTGCCAACATGGAATGCTCCAGAAGAGCAGGAAATGACTATCGCAATGGGTGGTTACATTGCATATAACAGGCGTTAGTACAACTTTACATTAAAATTTTTTTTTTATTTTTCGTCTCTTACACTTTATTTGACTTTAAATTCTTCAAGATTTTTTAAAAATTTATTTATTTATCCTGAATATTATGGTCTTCAACTCAGTCAAACTTGTTTCAAGTTGGGTCAAAATATATTAACTGCAGTCTCGTTCTACAACATTGAAAAATCCGACGCAAGTGACATCGGCACGTATGGAAAAAACTTCTTGACCGCTGAGTTCAAGTGGCCGAGCGAACATAAGATCGAAGGAAAAGAATATGATTTCTAAGTAAAATTACCATTGAAATAAAAAATTAAAATAGTAAATCATTTTATTAAAACACCTAATAAGAACGAACATTTAATAATTGTGTAGTGTTGGATGCCTCTTGCATAAATTTAGATCAAATAGAATGAAAATAATTTAGATTAAACATATTTTAAAAATTCGAAATTACTAAAAATTTTAAAACTTGCTTTTATTTTTTCTTTAGATAACGCTATTTTCACCAACTCTCTCGACAAGAGAAACATGGACATTAGTAAATGTGTTATAGTAGTCATTTTCGCTAAGGTCAAATTTGTTGTTGAGATTTTAAATGTTTAAGAAATGATCTGATGAGCTTGTAAATTTTTGTTCATTCCATTTCGTTTCGTCTCGTGTTGTCTCGTCTCATATCATCTCATTTTTATTTCATTTCGTCTCGTGCTGTTTTGTCTCAAATCATTTAGATTAACAATTTAATTTTTTTCAAATAAAAATTTGTAATCTTATTCTTTATTAGATCGGTGATGCAAACACAGAAGTACAGAAGTATATCAACCAGTTGCCAAACATTAAAGCCTACCGATCACGTAATTTTTTATTTAAATTTCAGTAAGAAAAACACAAAATTTGATGAATATATACATCGTATGGTGTGCGCGCGTAATTCACATGGTGCGTGTGTGTAAGATCAATTCTCATTTTTAACAGTAAAAGCAGTCAAACAATAAGTAATTTACTGTGAGATTTTTTGTATTGTTACTTTGTGTAACAAAGTTTAAACTATATTTTTCTCATATACAATAAGTTTATTAAAATGGATATGAAAATGGTTAAAAAAAGGCTAAAATGGATATGGATGAAAATGGATAAGATAAAGTTTTGTCAGATGTTAGAGAAATTATATTTTAACCTATTTCGTCCATAAAAGCGGAAGACATTCACAATTTCAATGCGATCTTGACCTTGAGCAAGTTGTTCCCTTCGAACAAATCCTTCTTCCATTATAAAGGAAGTGGTACAATTACACCCTGCCTGGAGCCTGTTGACGTTAGAGTTTACAAGCACCCAATCACCGTTTCCCAAGCTCAGGTGTCTCTCCAGTTATTTTTTTATTTAAAAAAAATCAATTTTCGGTAACGTGTTTTAATTTAACGCATTACATTCAACAAGCAAAAACGTAAAATAGTTATTAGTTTAGCATTCAGATTACTATTGTGATATTAGCATTCTAAGTATATGGATCATTCGCACCAAAGAGATACTATCATTTTAAATTCACAACAATCTTAAATTTAACAAAATAATAACCCAACGTTTTATATGCCAACTCTCCTATTTAGATTGACAAATTCAAAGAATTGAAATATGCAAACGGAAATCTGATGTTGACAAACCGCAGAGAACTCCAGGACCTGAGAGGCCGAGAGGTGAAATACGTCGAACTCTAAACGTCATCTGCATTGCAGTCTGATTTTATAAGAACATACTGACTTTTAATTCTGGCCCATTGCATTGCTAAATATTATTTTAAATAGTTTTACAAAATCTAAAATATAATGTTATTTTTTAGAACAAAATTGAACAATGTTTATTTTATAAGTTGTAGAAAAAGTTTCCTGAAGAAATCTCTTGCATCGTAAAAAATGTTTTATTCGAATTTTTGAAATTTAGGTATATTAGTCGAAGTGCCGAATAATTTAATAAAAATTATAATCATGAAAATAATAAAATTTTTGTAGAAATAAAAAATATTTTTATAATTAAATTGAGATTCATGAGTAAGTTTCAGATAAATTGAAAGTTTAAGACCAAAACTAGATCATGGTCCCCATATCAAAGCATGCTAGGCCAGGGGTGGGCAAACTTTTTGCTGCAAGGGCCGCAATGAAAACTATTTTACCTTTGAAGGGCCGCATATGTACTTTTTTTTTTTCGACCCGGGGAAGAATTTTTTTAAGATTTGTGGCTCTTTTTTTGGTCATTATGTCTGGCTGACGATCTCCGCCTGCCGTAATTTGCCCACCCCTGTGTTAGGCAATGCTATTAAGCTAAGCATTCATCTTAGTACTAGCAGCAGTAGTAGAAGCAGCAGTATTTGTAGTAGTAGCAGCAGCAGCAGTATTAGTAGTAGTAGTAGCAGCAGCAGTATTAGTAGTAGTAGTAGCAGTAGTAGTGGTATTTTTACTTTTAAAAAAGTTGTATTTAGCGGTCGGAACACCAGACTGATGCAAAGCAAAACTTAATTTACATGACATGCAAACTAAATTATCGATCTGAATTTTGAAAAATTCAAATGAATAAATTTTTTGATTTTGAATTTCTGGGGCTTATTACGAAATTGCACTGGTTTCAACAAACAACTAATACTAAATATAAATTTGACTCAATATGTTTAAAACATTGTACTTAAATCAAATTATGTAATTAAAAATTATTTTTGTCAATTTAAATGAAAATATTGCTCTTTGTTTCGAAAACACGGTGGCTAAGTTACCGCTTAACAAAGCCATAGGTTAGCTTACTTACGAAATTGCAGTATTTTCATTAAAATTGACAAAAATAATTTTTTGGCTGATTGGTTAGTTAAATGATTGAATGATTGTTTGGTCAGTTGATTTGATTCAGCGATTGATTAATTGATTTATTTGTTGATTGACGGGTTAATTGATAGTACAGTATCAAACAGTATCTTATTGAACAAAGTAGTATCATAAAATGAATAAAGATACTTTTTTTAAATTTTAAAAATTCTCAATTTGATTTCATTGCGATATCGACGATGATGATTGTGACTGACTAATTAAAAAATATCAAATAAAACTTATAAAATAGGATGGGCAAATGACGTCATGTTAACAGTACAGTTATTTAACTGCCTGTTAGTGAATTAGCCGGTATAAAGGTTTTATACAATTCCTATCAAATTAATTTGACCAAATATCATACGCAGGCAAAACTAAATAAAGAAATAGATAATTATTTGTAGTTATAATTATAATGCATTTATAATGTTATATTTACACATTCAAATTGTACCATTGTGTTATGGTGTAGTCTCAAATTATTTTGAATTCTCTCAGAAAAATTTAAACTTTTTACTATATACTAATTACTTATATCAACAATTTTAAAAAAATTTTCAATTTGATTTCATCGCGATATCGATGATGATGATTGTGACCTGACTGATTAAAACGCATCAAGGAAATTTTTAAAATAGGATGGAGAATTTGTTACGAAATCGTTTAATAATGTCTATTTATTTATTTATTTATTAAATGTTGACTGGTTTCTAGTTTTTTTTTTAATTTGGTTATATAATTTTTGATATTTCTTGATTTACTTTGTATATAATTTCTGTTTGGTATGTTGATTTAGCCATTATGATATGTTGTGAACTGTTCTTACTAAATGTTCATGTTACGTGGGTTATTATCCTTCGAGAACTTCTAAAGAAGTGCATGTGATAATACAAACAAAAAGTTGAATGAATGTTGGAAGCGGCTTGACGAGATATGATAGATAGGTGTTTGCTCTGAGTTCTGACAAATGTTTTAAGACTTATAATAGTTTGTTTTCAACATTTAAATTTTTAAATTGTTTCAATAAAATTTAAAAACAAAAAATCATTGAGTTGAATTTCATTTGAAAAAAAATCAAAATCGAAATTTTAAACCTGAAAATAATCGAAACCGAAAGGGAATTGATATCTTAACATAGGATCAAACCCTCACTGTATAATAATAATTACAATAAATAATTTTTCATCGGTCTATATTTCGTTATATTTGTTTGTTTAAACTTTTTAAAAAACTCACATTTTTTGGTAGTATTACTCTAAGAAAAGTTAACAAACTTCATAAAATGCATATGAAAAGGCGCGAATCCACTTGTCTCACAATTTGCATGAGGTAGTCGGCGATCTTTTGCGTTTGAATCCGGTTACTGCAACATTGCCACCAAACATCCTAACCATTACACCATCCAGACAATTTACAATCCAGCCAGCAATTGCGATCGAAAATATTTATTAAATCCAACTTTTCACACAAGATAATACAAATGAACAATGATACCAAAATACAATAAATACCCAAATACAATAAAATACAATACAATACAATAAAGTATAAAAAATTTGTTGAAGCCTCGAAAACAAAATTTCATAGAGATTTGTTTGAGTATATAGCATTACTTTATCCTGAGTAAATTTATTTATTTGTGGAAAACGCATTCATGTATGTGTCTGTGTTTATGTTTGTGCGTGTGTGTGCGTGTATATGTGTGAGTGTTGCTCTATTATGTTAATGTTATGATCATTAAATGCTCGTTAGTTCACTTTTTTGTTAGATCACTCCTTATAGCTGATCTGGTTATTAAATTCAATCAGGTAAAAAATAACATAAAATGACTATCTTTGTATATGTATTCTCATTGCACGACGCACGTGTGTGTGTTAAAATGTGCGTGTATGATTAGTATACGTATGTATGTTTTTTATGTATGTATGTATGTTTGTATGTTTGTATATACGCATCTTCTTGTATGCGTGCGTAGATGCGCGCGTATGTGTATAAAGGTATTAATTACAATACAATCAAACGCAATTATCAAATACAATACAATAAAATACAATTATCAAATACAATACAATGATATACAGTTAAAATTGGTTTTCGTAAAATACAAATCACAATACAAATGAAAGTTGCGTGTATTCATGACAAAATACAGGACGCCCCAATGATAAATATCGCATAATTATGTTAATTTTGAACGATCTTTTTGAAATTCAATACAAAAATGAGTGTCTAAAAATTCATAAACAGTATATATATATATATATATATATATATATATATATCTGTGTGTGTGTGTGTGTGTGTGTGTGTGTGTGTGTGTGTGTGTGTGTGTGTGTGTGTGTGTGTGTGTGTGCTGGTAATAACCATAATTTTTACAATATTCTATAAATTCTACCAAATGTTTGGCGTTAATATGTTTGTAGTTCGTTTTTTCGATTTTTCTCACTAAAGTTTTTTAATTTATTAAAATTCAAAATAAACTTATTTTTCGAATTCATGCTGCAAATAAGGCCATATTTCGATTCCGAATGAATCATCATCAGTGCTCCTTGCTGTATATATAGGAATATATTGACTTTGCAAAGAGGAACTTTGACGTTGTAAAAATTAACTTTGGTGTTTTAAAATTGAACTTTGATGCGAATTAGGTGTCAGGTTTCTTAATTGGCTGGTCATCTTCTTTGGTCTCCTTTCCTTCATCGATAGCATCATATTCTTCTTTGTCACTATTTACGATGCTAGTTTTTATTACTTCTTTGTTTTCGTTGTTGGTTAAGCGCCGGGTTGGAAGTGAGGTTGTCATTTTTTGTTGTATATTTATTTTTGGTTTATTGATGTCAATTAGGACTGCTTCTGCAATTTTAAGATGCGTGTAGTTGCTGTTCTGGTATATTACTTTAGTGTTGCTGTCGAGGATTTCACGGCTAATTGTGATTGAGTGTGTTGAGTCCAAATGAGATTTGATAGCTTCACTCTGTTTATGCATCGTAAGCCTTCTAGTCAGTGAGGTAGTAGTAATCCCGATATATGAGTCATGTTGACGTGCACAGCCGTCAAAGGGGCAATTAAATTCATATATTACGTGATTACGCTTTAACTCAGAGTTATCTCTAGGATTGCAGTTGTTTTTCAGTATTAGGTGAGACGTTTTTTTATTGTTGTAATAAATTCGGAGTTTAACTTTACTATTTGGGTTGGTTGGTGTGACATTTTTATTAATGATATGTTTAAGAATAGCTTCATCTACCTTGTATGCTGTTGACATGTGATTTCTGTAATACAAGATGATGTCGTTATCTTGATTGTTGGTACTAGGAAGGTTATTGCTGAGTAGTAATTTGCCTTTAACAATCTTTTCAAATTACTACACAGCAATAACCAAATTCGCATCAAAGTTCAATTTTACAACACCAAAGTTAATTTTTACAACGTCAAAGTTCATCTTGACAAAGTCAATATTTTCCTATATATACAGCAAGGAGCACTGATGATGATTCATTCGGAATCGAAATATGGCC